GACTGTCTCGGCGTTTCGACTTATTTTGCTATTACAGACCAGAAAACTGTTATAGCGTTTTTGAATTTTGTGCCACAGTAGGCAAAGACTGTCCTGGCGGTTGGATATGGTGCCACAGCGGGATCAGGCTGTCTCGGCGTTTAGATATAGGATTTTTGATTTTTGTTGTTTTATTTGGTGTTTTTAATTGTTTTTAGTTTCGTTTGGTAGTCTCCCTATTAGTCATTGGGGCGGTCTGTGCGTTCTCGAAGATTTTCGCATTTCGAACACGTCGCAAGAATGCCGACAATACCCCCTCTAGCACCTCAACGAGAGGGCTGCACACATTAGAGGTGGCGTAAATCGGTTTCTCGCGACGTGTTACCCCTATATCTGATAGAAAATTGACGAGTTTTGATGAAAGATTTCTGCTTAAAAGTTGGTGTGTGAGGGACTACCTATATAAGAGAGGGAAAGTGGATTCTAATAGTTGCCCCTGCAACTATAGGTCTATACAAGACCTACCTTATATTCTATTTAGATGTAATCTATATAGAGAGGAAAGGAAAGGACTAAGAGAAGCCTGCGAAGGCGATCTATCACTACCTATCCTCTTTTAAACAAAAGAGGGTATAGAAGCAACTATTACCTTTATTCAAGAAACAAAGGCTAGAATACAAGCCTGGTACAAGGGAAACACAGAAAACAAGGAGTAATACCTGTAATAGGTAGCCATACACCTCCCCTACCCTATCCTACCCCCTACCTACTAACCAATAGGCTACGAGCCTTACCTTCATCTAGTTAAAACCCCTCCTAAATATTGTAGCTAGAAACAACCTACTTAGATACTTGTAGGCCTAAAAACCCTACACGTCTTATATAGCCCTTTAGGCTGAAAAAGGACGTTAAACTAGAATAATAATAATAATAATAATAATAGACTAAAAACTAGAAATCTGCATGGTATAACAAGATGCTATTCTGAGAACAGGTGGAATTTGAAGTACGTGATATTTTAGCGCTTATACTGTCTACTTGGCACGGTCAATTGGCTAAATGCCGCATTTCCTAACAGGGCAAAAATAGCTGTTAGTTCTTTCTGCTGGGCCGTTTAACTACGATAAGCTGAGGTGATTACAAGCAAAGAGGCAACGAGTCCACAAGGCTATAGCGTATATAACAGCCCAAGGATTGCCCCGAGAGACTGTATAAGTTGCCGAAAACTTCCCTCACATGTACCGAACCTACATACATTCTGCAAAGTCGTCACCTAATTCTCGACTTTGATTTATCCTCCTGATTTCTTCTGTACATATTTTACCCTGCTCATCCGCTCTTGTACTTGTGGTTTTGCAGCCATGCTTTTCAAAGACGTCGCACTGGCGCTTTCTATGCTGGCGCCTATGGCCCGAGCCTCCGTCCTTCACGCCCCGGAAAACGACATTGAAAAACGCGATATCGATTATTGTATAGTCGCTGAAATACCTCCTAAAGCCTACAAGAGAGCGGCCTGGACATTTGAGACCGGCGGCGCTCCCCACGCAATATCGGGCCCTGATTTCGCATCAGCAGACCTATACGGGAAAGTAGGGACCAGTGATGACGGCACGGTTTCACTCTCGGTCCGTGCCGCCAACATGCCTCCCGGCTGGTCCTGGTTTTTGAAAACTCCTCTAGATCGAACACCAGGCATCATCAGCATGTTCGGCAACGTGACTTGCGGCCCATACTTTTACCCCAAGTACCCCAGTACCACCATGACCGTGGACATATACTTTTACAAGTGGGGCCAAAACGTGTAAACCATACTGCGACCACTCATGCTATAAATCTGGAAGACATTATCGAGAGATTTGGAAATATGGTATCGGGCGAGTCACAAACGGTGGAGATGCTGAGATAAGGTGTTGAGTTGGGCCAGTAGCCTACTCAATGGAGGCTGGCACCGATAGCTATGGACAAGAGCAACGCGACGATGTGATTATAGATGAACTACATAAAACTCTACAACAATGAATTACCTCCAGATTGATGTGTTTTTCATGCCAAGTTTTATTGGGGTATTGCGCCCAGACATTGTTCACAATACGTCACGTGATCATACTCAAAAGCGACCGCAAAGAGTCGATGATAGTAGCAGCATGTTTGATCACCCGTTTCAGTCCTGCCACATGCGTGTGCCCAGCTTCCGAAGCTTGGCTCTCAAGTTGTGTCTTCGAAAACCAAATCCCCATACAAATCCTTTTGCTTACTTACTCTTCCCGACTTTACCATGTACCTTGCTGTAGCCACGCTCCATTAACATTAAGTCTAAAAAATCCAGATGAATGCACCGAGCTGGATATACGACAGATGCATACACTTGTGACGCGAAAGTTTGTTTGTGTATAGTTGGACACTTAGTTGGTGTGCTTACTTACGTAAACAAACTTCTCGAACACTTCGGACAATAACCCGGTCTACTTATGCTTGGCACGGCCATACCAAGGACCCTGTTACTCGCATATCCATCTTGAAACGCTATGAAGGTTTGACTTGGTAAACGGCAGGGAATTCATTCGAAGATGCGAAACCAGAATTTAGGGGGCTGTCTTAATGACAGGTATTTCGAATAGACGTTTTATTTTCTTCAATTCGCTTGGAAACAATGCTGTAAAACTGCTACACCGCAATCAAAAAACCTTCCTATGCTTCGCCGGAAACCAATTCATTAATCGTATATGGCGATCTCTCCTGATGTGGATTAGTATCAGGCTTTGATCCGCAATGATGACCCGTCTTACTGCGAATGTGCAGAGAAATCGGCGCTTAGCCTAGGCTGCATGTGCAGCCCTTCCTCTTGTCAAGATCGAAACTCGGCCATGGTACGCAGATTTGGCCTCCGCAGTTCTTTCCAGTGACACCGCAGTTGTCGTTTGAGCACGGGCCCGTGTAGCCCTGTGGGGTGGGATCGGGCAACGCCAGAGCGATGCTGATGAGAAAGGAGGTGATCAGGATGGTGGGACGCATGGCGGACGGGTTGAGTGATAGTGTGTAGTTAAGTAATGGTATGAAGAATCCGAAGAAGAAATGTTGTGATGGTTGTGAACTGAGGACAAAATCAGGGCGGGTTGCCTAGCCCATTTATACCTTCACCTCAGCCTCTGCTGTGACGTACTAGAGAGCCTGAAACGGAACACGGCGATAGTCCCACCCCCATGGGACCGAGTGCCAGTATCACAACCCTGCGGTAAGTTGTGGCCCAAGACTTGACAAGAACGTAGGGCTTGGGTTGGGCTTCCAACTCCACTGAGACAATTTCAGCATGTGCCCGTGGGTACAATTGAGTTGGACAAAGATGTATTTTGTGATTTGGATAGTCGCGCCAAGCAGGAAAGGCTTCTCGATTCTGCGGCGGCGATGGGCCTGCCGGTCGATCATCTCCAAGTGCTATAGGCTTGGCTTCTTGGCCTCCGGTCTGGCTTAGGGCGGTAAGCGGAGAAGAAAGTATGCAGCAGGTCACCAGCAAGCTTGTGCTATCTTCAGCTTAGTCTATATGCCGGAAGTTTGCGGAGGATGATGATCTTGTGCCAATTACGTATTGTGTAGACCAAAGAGGTCAAGGTGTAGACTCGCCGTCGTGGCGATGTTAATGGAATTGATATGGCCGACAGGGTGATGCAGATCACCAGCATGGCCAAGCTGGTGCGGTACAGGCGGAGCAATATCCGTGCACTATGGGATACGGATGGGCTTGTCAGGAGGACTATTATCAAAAGCAAAGCCACACGCCCAGCATTGGGACGCCTCTTACGCGCGTTTTTGGGCGCTGCAACCACATGACATGTCTCGGGGAGGCGTGGTGGTTTGTGCCCGTCACGTGATCAATGTTGCATCCGAGGCTGGCTCCTGCAAGGCGAAGAAACTGGATTGACTGATGCTATGAGAGGCTTGTCAGCAGCAAGGGAAGCAGGCAGCTAGTGGATATGTTGGGGTAATAATTACTGCAGGGGAAGCAAGCAGCAAGTGTATACGTTGGGGTAATAATTATTGCAGGCGGCTGGCGGGAATCCGCACAGGGCGGGAACCGGCATTTCTGGCTGTCGAGTAGAAGACCCTGTCGGGGAGGGGATGAGGAAAACAACAAGAAACTTGATATTCCGCTGGCTGGGGTCAAGCAAGGATGATGGGTATATTCGCACACGGCGTGTTTCAATATGTGCAAATGAAGATGTCGCTGGCCAGCAGCGGTTGGTGGAGCTACGGCGCGCTTGCTTATCTTATCGCCGAGGCAGCCATCTCCTGGCCAGCTTCCCCACCGTCGATTGCCCTCCAGTCAGCACAGGCACTGACGTACGTCGGATACTTCCAACATGGCAAGCAACAATGACGATTCCCGACGCGACAACCGTCGCCCCGAGGATAACCCCTTTATCGCCTTTCGCCGGTTCGCCGACTCCCAAGTCTCCTCTCTCCTGAACACCGTCTTCACCCTTCCCGCCACCCTCGCCAACTACAACAACGCGCACCAGGCACGCGAGCGATGCCTTTTTGGAAAGGCCGACCAGCGCCAGTGCGACAGGCTCCATGGTATTGAAGCCGAGATCGCCGAGCTGCGCAACGAAGGGCGAGAGCTGTTTAGGGTGGGCGATGTGCAAGCTGTCCTGCGCAACAGCGAGGAGCTTATGAAGCTCGACCGCAAAGCCGACGATATCAGGAGAGAGATTTTACATGACTCGGACGGAGAGACCCAAAAGGACATGGCGCGTGGAAGCGACACGGAGCTTGTGGAGAGAGTGGCCAACAAGAAGGGCCAGGAGTGGGGATGGTCGTGGGACTGGGGCTTTCCTAGACCCTTTGATCACGAGCGTCGAAATGCCCGGGAAACTTCCGAAGAACAGGATGCCGACGTCTTCGCAGCCCTGGAAAGGCTGTTACGCCTACAAGCGGAAGCGTCGCGACTTGCCCAAGACTTTGAGGACAAGGCGTGGAACGACTCGGCCACAAAAGTGTCGAGATTTGACAACTACAATGAGTCTCCTGGAGATGATGGCAGACCTCGTATATGGTCATGGTCAAAATCGTGGCAGTGGCCGCCACAGGCAGATGCATCGCAGCCTGACAACGATCCATACTCGCCTCGCGCGCTCGAACAGAATCACGCTCTGGACAAAGCGGGTGTGCCGTGGCGCGTCGCGTACGAAGACCTTCTGCGCATCAAACAAAACGAGCGGCCGCACGATGCGGCAAGTGAAGAACGTACGGAATGGGCAAATGGCAAGATTCCCGTCACACAGCGCCAGTCGCAAGAGGAAATGGAGCGTGGCAACGAGTCCAGCTATCCGCGCCTTGCTGCGCAGGATGAACCAAGTTACGAATATAGTCACGACCACGAAGACCAGCACGATGATCCGCCCACGCCCAAGCGCGCCCAATTTCCCTTCAACGCATTCCGCCGGGATGCCTCATCACAACCACCAAGAGCGGCGGCAGAATATGGGGATTACCTGAAGGAATGGCAAGAAGCCGCAACTGAAATGGACGCGTATGAACACCTTGATGCCACGTCAGCGAATACCGCAGTCTCTTCTTCTTCGCGAACCGACAAGACCAACGAAGCGAACCCCTCGATCCTATCCACACTCACAACTACGGAACGCACTGTTGCCCCTGACGGCTCCATCACCACAAAAGTCATGCTCAAGAAGCGCTTCGCTGACGGCCGTGAAGAAAGCTCAGAAACAGTCCATACGCAGCGCGGGCAGGAAACCGATGCGCCTGCGCGAGACCCCTGGAAGGCACTGCAGAATGCGCAGTCGAGCTCTTCGTCTGAAGGCGAAGCCAACAAGAAGAAGAATGGATGGTTTTGGTCTAGTTGAATGGATCATTTATTGGTGAAATCTACTGGACGTGTTTCGTCACTCATTCTATGTATCTAGCGTTGCGCATACCCCCCTCTTATATTATTCAATCCAGCTCTCTTTTCTACTCACATTACGTGTATTCTGTTCCAAGCATTGGGCATTCCCGCCAGCATTGTCAAAAACCACATGATAAATCGTATACCTCTAGGATTACACATGCATGCATATTACGATGTCATCACAAGGAAGTGGCGTCACTAGAAGGAAAAAGAACTGTTTGCTCGTAAGAGAATTGAATACTTGTTTTTGAAAGAAAAAGGCAAACTACACATCCCCACTTAATGTCACCGTCTCGGACACATTCCTAGTATGCTGGCTCATAGCCATACTCTTCCCCCTCTGTACGCTCGCAGTCTCGATCACCGTGTTTGCTCTACTCATCGCATAATCGAATTCGGGCTCTCCTTGCTTCTCCAGCCCCCACATGCCATCGGCAATAGCCCTAGCCTTGTACTTGATGATGAGACCGACGGTGACGGGCCCGAAAATGGTGTTGAGGACAATAGCCCAGACGGCCGTGATGAAGGCCTCCTTGGACAAGTAGGGCGTGTTGTTGAGGCCGATCTGGACGACGAGCAGGCCGATTTCGCCGCGGGCCACCATTGCGGAGCCGAGAAGCATGGCGGGCCAGAGGGTCGAGGTGAAGGCTTCGCGGATCGACATGCCCTCAGGGCGGTTCTTGATACTGGCAAAGGGGATCACGAAGCCGACGACGAGCTTGGATATCAGCATGAGCAGTGTGTATACGAAGCCTTTCCAGAAGGCCTCGGCGGTCCAGAGATCGACAAAGGGGATGGCGAAGCCGATCGAGGCGAAGAAAAGAGGCTGTAAGAGGTACTTTACCACGTCGAGAAAGTACTTTTCAAACGTGTGCATGAACGTGGGACAGATTTCAGGCTCGCCGTTATCGAGCTGTGATGCTTCTGCAATGCTCCGGGCTTCGGCTTCTTCGGCATCCTCGCGCGAGGGTGGGTGGAATGGGCCGGTCGGGTGCTTGGATGGGAGGTACGTTAAGAAGGCACCGGCCATGAAGGAGCCGTAGAGGACCGACGTCCCGCCAAACCCTGTAATGCTCAAGAAGGCACAGAGCACAAAGATCATAATCATGGCATTGACGACATGGCGTTTTCGTGTCTTCGGGAGACGAGGTTCGATGAACTTGCGGTACAGCGGCGCGAGGAGCCATTTGTTCAGGACGGGGGTGAGGATTGCGAGCAAGCCGGAGACGAGGGTAGGGCGGCCAATGAGCCATCCCAGGTTAGGAGAGTCGTCGCCTCCCAGGGCTCCGAGTTGGTTGATAACACTGGTGAGTAGTGTTAGTTACTTTGCGCCGCGCCATTTTTTCGCCCGAGTAGTGGCTCTTCTTACCTTGCCATTACCAAACCAGAGACATCGTCAAAGACTGCAGCGCTGACCAGGACAGTTCCCACTCTCGTGTCTGAGAAGTTGATATCTTTGGAGCTTTTCCCTAGCACCACAAATGTGGTACCAAGCGATGTGACAGAAAGTGCTGCTCCAACAATAAAAGTCTCAACAGCTCCATATCCGAAGCCGATGTACAAGAGTACATATGTGAATCCAATTGGACATATGACGCCAATGACGGCGGCAATGAATGATAGACCAAAATTGGCCTTGAGCAAGTCGAGCCGCACAGCTAATGCGCCTTCGAAGATGATCAAGACAAGCCCTATATAACCGAGTGCTATAAAAGCTTCTTGCCATGGAATAGGGATGATGGTGCTGCCAATAGGTAAGCCATAGATCAGTCCGACTACAATTTGCCCAATGAGGCCGGCGCGGAACACACGGTTGGAGAGCCATTCGCCAAAGCAAAGCCAGAAGAAGAAAGAAACAAGAACGAGGAGTTGAATAACTGCGTGTGATCTGTAAGAGAAGAAAAAAAAAGTTTAGTGGGGAATAAACGTACTATTGGGTTCGTGGTATTGAAGGAAACCATCAGCAGGCGTCGAAGTATCACCACCAGCCATGATGTATCAAATCTCAAGAAAAAGAAAAAGGAAATCCAAAAAGGGCTGAAGAAGCGAAATTGCAAAGGTGACCTGCCTGCTGCTGTCCAGAAAAAAATTCCATATTGACGTTCCGCACGCAGCTTTATGGGCGATCGACTAATAAGCCTCCGCTTCAAGATATGTTGGCGGCTTGGAGATTCCGCCATATCTGGTATACGGATTGAGAGCCAAGCGGCTTGGTCCAACATCGGGCTGAGGCTACCAAGACTGTACGGAGACGAGATAATGTGTGTTACAGGCGCTTGGCAACGCCCAATGCCATGGTAGGAATTCCTGCTCGTTAGAAGATGCTGGTTTATTGTGAATGCGATAGCAGAGGAGTGGCTTGGCGTTTCCACTCCGCGCTGGGCGGAATGCTGAAACACAGGCCGCCCACCGAGTCTAAACAGGCATTGTCAGAGGTAGCGAAGACAACGCTGCCAACCCCACAATCCTACCATTGAAGTGGTTTGAACATGCCATTGGCACGGCAGGCGTCTAAGGCAGTGGCTGGGCTTGTTGCCTGTTCCTTTCCGCATCCTCTTAAGATTCTAGATCCGTGTCACGAACAGTGTCACGGGCATGGGTTTTGTGGCTTTGCTAGGGGAGAGAAGGACACACACACCAACTTTTAAGCAGAAATCTTTCATCAAAACTCGTCAATTTTCTATCAGATATAGGGGTAACACGTCGCGAGAAACCGATTTAC